GTTTTCATTTCTATCAATCCTTTCTCCTTCTTCACATTTAGAATTTTATACTTGCGGTCCGACATTTGCAGGCTGATATTAAAAATTTAAGAAAAATATAAATTAAAACAGAAAACAAAAATAAAAGTAGAAGTTTAAAAAATATATAAAAAATTAAAAAATTGCAAATTATTTAATATTATTGCAAAAAAATTGAATTTTCCCTATATCACAAGCTAAAATCACTGATTTGTATGAATTTGTACAAATTGTATAAAATTGTATAAAATTGTACATATTGCCCAATACACACAATTTAAATAAAAGTTATTTCGTCAAAGGGGCACATAAATAAGGGGGCGTGTAAATTAGTGAGTTCTTAGCGAGAGACTCGTCATCTGATGTCTTTTAAAAGAAAATCACTTTGAGAGTTAAACAGTAATTACAATAAACATTAACATTTAACTTTTTACTTATCAAAAAGTTTTTCATTGTTTGCTTTTTCACCCATAAATAATTTCGGTGAAACATAGCCTTTTTATTAAATCTAATTGGCACCGAGAGTTAAAATCTTATTGAAATTTAACTATATTTAATTTAAGGATGAAAATTTACAATTTAATTCTTTTAAATTTGTATTTTCTTCAACTCTTTTCGTTTTTATTTGGAATGCATCATGTCGGAGCAGGACCGCAAGAGACACCGTTTACTCGATTAAACGGACAAATTCGTCCTTTGCTTAAAGAAATTGGCGACACAAATCCTTGTGCTGGTGTAGTGCCTCGGAAGATAGGTAAAATTTATTTTTATTTAAATTAAAAAATTTTTAAAAATAAAGAAAACAAAGCACTTGTTCAATCATTTCCCAATGTTAAAGAACAATACGAGAATTTGGTTGAGGCGCATTTTGAGCTCTTACGTTTCACCTTAAGTTTAACTAATGCAATAAACCAATATTCAGTAAAATTTTTTTTGTTCATTTGAAATTTATTATTTTATGGGCAAGCATGTGACATTGCTCTCTAGAAAAAAATTAGCAAAAGTGCTCTAGGATATTTTTAACTTCCCGAACACGAATTTGATTAGTAGGGTTCGGGGTTTGAAAATTCGACTCGGTTGAATTCGGATCCGTGGGTCGAATAAACAAATTCTAAGCCCAATTTTGGACTCTGAACACTTTATTACTTACATACAGACCTCAGAAATACCTAAAGAACACTTCTTTCTCATTTTTTTCTATGGCACAATGTTCTGCAGGTAATACAGATGGGTATATGAAATTATTTAGAAAAAGGGGGATCGTTTTTTCCAAACCGAATCTTGGAATGGAAACAAATAAATCCGCTGTCACATGATTATATAAGTACATAATTTTAATTTACCTTTATTAGAACATTCCTAATATCTCACAAGAAGAAAAGCAAAACCTAGAAGGCCTGAACACCTCTCTTCAAGATAATAAAGAGCTGCAAACCGGTGTTATAACCGACATGGAAAAAATTAACGCTTATTTACATGACATTTACAAACAACGTAAGCGTAAACGAGGACGTGAGGAAGGACATCGCGGATCTGGTTCAGGCATTTGAAGTAGGAACTTTTATTAAATTTTTATTAAATTAATATTCGAAATTTCAATATGTTTTTATATTAATTTATATTTTGTTGAAGGTATTTTGACAACATTGTGATGCTGCAAGAAAGATGGTAGTCCAGATTGTTTTGACTGTCAAACCTAGCTTTAACAAACCTATTTTTTAACCTATTCTTTCTAGCACAATTTGTATTAGTTTTCCATTTCAAGAATTTTTAATCCATTTTTTTATTTTGTCATTTTTCGGTGATTTGTAGTTTTTATGCTCTTGCGATAAATCTTAGTTATTCTTTAGTTATAATATTAATGAGATAATTTGGGAATTATTTTGCCAATTTCTTGGGCTCACACGCTCAGATTTCCCCACCTTTTACCTTATTTATATTTTAATATTTTCCGAGTTTAAATTTAAGGTTAGTTGTTTCGACTTCTGTTCTTAAAAAAGAAAGAAAAGAAACAAATTTAAAATTATCAAAAATTATTTTTAAAAATTTTATAATTTAAAAACAATTTATTTCGAGCACTAATTTAATATTAATAATTAAAGTCCAATTGCAATAAAAACGACCATTTTATTTTATGAGAGAATTTTTTTAACAAAAAATTGCTTTTCATGGCAATTTTTAACCTTACTGTCGATGGTTGTAGATATTAATTTATGAAAAAAAAATTTTTTTTAATTCAAAAAAAAATTAAAATCTTAAAAAATAAAAAGCTTTTTATAATAACATGTATCCGCTCTTTGCCAACCTGTATTGGATGGATCTATGATGATAAATAATTTCATCTTCTGCAGGCGTTTCAAAAGTATCAAATCATAAGACTAGACTACGGATTGCTTTATCGTTATCAACATGAGCTTTTTATCGTCGATGCATAATTATTACATTTAAAGGATTCAATTCGTATTCCCTACTCTATCAACAGCAATTTTCTCTTCATTTTGGAGATACAAAGAAAAATCTGAACAATTCAAAAAAAATCGGATTTTTAAAGTTTTTTGGACAGTGTTTTTTAAATTATTGCGAGGAGATTAAAAGTTACGAAAGCTGAATCTTTTGGAAAAAGTTAAATAATGGAAGCGGGCTTATAAGCCCTGAAAGAGAATTGTTTGGGTTTCAAGATGAGTATAAAAATATTATAAAAATTAAATAAGAAAAAAAGTTATGATTAACTGAAGAGTACCCCATTTTTTTGATCACCCTATTATTGTGTCCGCACTTGCAGAAAGAACATAAATGAAAATAAATAACCCATCATCTTGTTGGATGGTGGCACAGTCGGATGTGCTTCGGTTTGGGCCTTTTCAATGATTGTTGAATTCAATCTCCCATCAAATGAATTTTTCCACAGCATGAACAGCGTATATAATACTTGTGGAAATATTTTTCTTCAACCATGAAACTGAATTCTAGAATGCTTTAATTTTAAATAAATTTACAAAATTCTTTAAATAAAATATTTTGCAAAATATTTTAAGGAATTTTTAAAAGAAAGGTAAATATTGCCAATTGCAAACAGCAAGCTCGATAGAAAGTGCAATTTTTCTTAATGTCTTAAGTCTTGAGTTGCATTTAAGACATTACTCTTAAATTTAAAAGCCTGCCCTTATTGAGACTGCTGCTTAATTGAAAGAAATACTTCGTTAAGGGGTAGAAAGAAAATTTTATAAGAGAATATTTCACGTGTTTATTTGCTTTAAAATTTAAAAAGGCTCGAAATTTCGATTCGAGTTTTTCGAAAGTTCGATTTATAGGGTTAAAAATAAAGATCAGAGCCAAGTCACACGCGTAGCTGATTGCTTTAAAGGGCGAATTAAATAGCTAGTTTTGCTTTATTTATCAATCTACTCTTCGTCTAGGCATTCTAACAGCCATTATAATTTTTTCCCCAATGTTTGAATAGCTTTATTTTAGCCAACAAAACAAACAGTTATTTATGAATATTACTGTGCTATTTAAAATTTTATTTTAAAAATAAATATCCAATAAAACAAGAAATTTTTTCAAAAATTAAAACAAGTTGGCTAGCGGAATCGGAATTTAATTTAAATTTTATTATTTAATTTAGAGATGAAAATTTACAATTTAATCCTTTTAAATTTTTATTTTCTTCAAAATTTTTCTTTAATATTTGGAATGCATCCAGGAGAAGGTCCTTCAGGATCGCAACCACGAGTGGATGTTTGTTTTATTGTAACGAAATAAAAAATATACAAAACATTTTAATAGGAATTTACTCATTTAAGTGGACTAATTTCTCCTTTGCTTGAAACTGTTGGCGACACCCAGATTCTTCAGGGAATAACACCTCGGGTGTTAAGTAATAATTATTTTTTTAGTTAACAATTTATTTTTAAAATTAAAGAGAACCCTGCTCGCCACGAAGATATTACTAATGTTAGAAAACAATATAATAATTTGGTTTATGCATATATGGAGTTGTTTAATACCAATGCAATTAATGAACAAATAAATTCCTTGTTAGAGTATCTATATCAAAATATGGTAAAAAATATTATTTTGTTTAATATTAATTTTTATCTGGCAATAAACTTGAAAAAGGAAATAATTTTTGTAAAACCGAGACTTGTAAAAACTGAAAGGGAAAATAAATGAGAGATAGGAATAATTCTACTCAGATTTTCTCATTTGTCAGAACAATCCTAACTTCACCCAAAAACAACATAAACAAGCAACTAAAAAGATAAATGAACTAGAAAACTATAGTCAAGTTAATGAAACCCTGAAAAACGGACTTACAGCAGATTTGCGGACATTATACGATTATGTCCAAGAACTCTATAATCAAACGACACGAAATTTAGGTAATTGACATAGTAGAAAAACTTTATTCTCGAAACACTTTTTATGAATGTATTTTTATAAAATGTAAAAAGAAAAATTATAGGGCTGATTAATAAACAGAGAAAGTTTTTTAGGGTTTTACCTATATTTTTGCGGTCTAGTAACGATGAGATAAGCACAAAATCATTGTTTTGGGACGAAATGAGTCTAGTATATTGGGCCTATTCGGACCAGACCTAACCACTCAACCATCAACCAAGCAAAGGAAAAATGGGAGAAATTATAAATAGGTATTTCTTTACCTTTTCCTTCAAAAAATTTAATGTCAAAGTACGAGTGGTACAAGCCCTCTACTATTACCACGGCGCCTTTTTCAATTCTTCTAAGAAAAGATAGGCATTTGGTATCTAAATCTGCTTTATTTCTCTACATAAGTTTTTTCAAGATGTAAGCTTAATTATTACAGTGCGTCAAGAAATAATAAGACCAAACTCCCCTCAAAGTTTCGACATTATGGGTGCTCGAAAATTCTATAAGTTGACTGTTTTTAATTGAAATATGAAAATTTACAATTTATTCCTTTTAAATTTTTATTTTCTTAAAATTTTTCGTTATTTGGAATGAATTCAGGAGAAGGTCCTTCAGGATCGCAAACAGGAGGAATGTATCCCGGAGAAGGTTCAGGATCGCAACAAACTGCGGAACAAGATGTTAGTATTATTTTAGTGAAATAAGACTATAAATATTCTTAATAGTTGTCTCAACTAGATTCGCAAATTCGTCATATGCTTCAACACGTTGGCTCTTCTGCTCCTCTTTCAGGCATCATACAACGTCCATTAAGTAATTCTTATTTTAAATTTTTAATTAAATAATTTTTAAAAATAAAGAAAACCAAGGAAATATGCAAGTAATTGATAATATTGAAAAACAATATAATAATTTATGTCTTGCATATAACGAGTTGTGTGCTGAATTTACGGATATTAGTCAACAAATTCATTACTACCAGTCGGTTAAATTGTATTATCAGGTAAAGACAATTTTTATTTAAAAATTATTTTTATTGGGAAATGAAAATATGTGCCTATTTTCTGACAAAAAATCCGAATTATACAAATAATTTATCAGTTTATATTTCCTTTTGTTAGAATGATCCGACCATATTACAACAAATAAATGAACTAAACACCCGTCTTCAAGAAATCGAAAACGAGAAAAAGGAAATTATAGATGATATGTGGAAGATTCACAAGCATTTTAATGAAGGTAATTAATTGACGTTTAAATGTCTGTCAGCGGCAAAGTTCAATCTAAGTCCAAATTCATATTGGCCAGCGTTTAGTGTTGATTTTTGGCCTTGAGTTTTTTGAAATCGCCTCTTGCGTTTATCCCTCTGAGCCAATATAAAATGTTTCCCCCAAAGATAAATATCTTGATATAGAACTTTGCTATGCCGTTAAATATTGAAAGAGAGCGAACTTAAAATTATTTTATAAATTAAGTGCCATCAGGTGGACGTACACGAAGTCGGGATACACGAGGTCAAGGTACACGAGGGGGACATACACGAGTTCGCCATTCAGGAGGTCACGGATCTGATTCCGGCAATTGAGGTAGGGAATATACATAATTAATTAAAATATTTAATTTAAATTAAAGAGATGATGACAATGAGAAGACGTGAGGAAAAAAACATGTGTTAGATCAATCTGTTATTAGAACAGATATTATTCAAAATCATGACAACACTTTGTGGTGTTTTAAAACGAGATACGTTATAGTATCAAATTCTTTAACTTTTTCTATCCTTTCTAGCACAAAATTGTTTTAGTCTTTAAATTTCATTCTATTTTTAATTTGGACAATTTTTAGCTGATTTGTAGTTAGTATACTCTTGTGATAAATTATAGTTATTAGTTTTGTTATTTTTCTCAAAATGAATTTAGTTAACTTGTTAAAATACATTCGGTTAAATAAAAGAAATAAAAGGATTAAGCCTTCAACTGGCAATACCTCCAAAAAGGAATGAGACTCTAACTATTAATAATTACCATATATGCTTAAATAATTACCCTGTGTAATTCAACCTTTCTCGAGAGGACGATAGATCATAGTTAATCGAAAGGGCAATTATTCTAGTTTTGAACTGTGCACTTGAGATAGAACATTTGTGAGGGTGTAAGTATTGTTTCAACCTGTCCTGAGTGTATTTATTTGAGTGGAGGCAAATATTTGAGAGAGGATATTTAATCGAGCATATACAGTATTAGAAAAATTTTCAGAAATATTTTTTAAAAAATTTTTTAATTCAAATTTACAATAAATAATTGTTGGTGATAAGCACCAAACCCACCACTGTCAAAGTTCGAAATTTTAATAAAATATTGATGACTCATATTTTTTTATTTTATTTTCACGTGTTTAATTAACTTCCATTTTTACTCTTTGTTCTTCCAATCCTAAGATTAATCATTTTTCTCTCTCTCCTACTATTAAGTTTCACACACTTTAGCACTAAAACACTTCCGCCCTTAGTGGCAATGAATGAATAAGCTTGAGAAAGTTAGAGCGCTGTTGGTGGCGCTAAAAAGTTTAAAGTTTATATTAAATAAAATTTTCTTTTATAGTTTTTTAATTCTCTTCATCACTTTTAATAAAATTTTATTAAACACTTTTTAAATAAAACTTTATTTTTTAACTTGTTTGGAATAAAATTATTTATTTTAAATTTATTCATTTTGATTAATTGGATTAAATTATAATTAATATTTATTCTAATATCTAAATAAATTAATTTATTAATTTAATATATTTGTGGTTGTTAAGTTATTTGTGGTTGTTAAGAGTATCAGCCAAATTACTTCACCATTTTTGACAACCACCATGACTTGTCAGTGTTAAACTCATTACTGCTTTAGACTGATAAATAAATAAATATGGTATTTGATTATCACCAGTTTAGTTTTCTCGTCTTTCTGGTCTAAATCCTTCTGGAAAAAATTAAAGTAGTAACTCGATTATTTATTATTTAAAAAATTTCTCTAATAACTAAGATTTATCACAAGAGTATTTTAACTACAAATCACCGAAAATATTTAAAATATAAATGAAATAATTTCATGAAATTAAAAACTAATACAACTTGTGCTAGAAAGAATAGAAAATTATAAAAGATGAAAGGATTGACAAAGATATATCTATGTCATTATGACAAAACTTTAAAAAATACATCACAGTGACTATAATTACTAGGGAGTGGCAAAATATGCAAGGAAAATCCCAAAATATGCGCATATATATGCACCGAAATAGCCCAAAATATGCACCAAACTATGCCAAAATATGCACTAAATATGCAGCAAAATTAATGAAAATGCCCTCTAAAAATCAATATTTTTAGTAAAAAATACTAATCTAGCATTTAATTTGAAGTTTAAGAGCACTTATAAAGGATTTTATCAACTTAAAATTCAATTTTTTCGAAAAAATTTTTTCAACGAATTTTTACTAAAAATTTTTCGCCCAAAAATTCCAAAATTTTGGAATTTTTGCCAGATTTTTACTAAAATTTCTCAAAAAATGCCAAAATATGCACAAATTTAGGTAAAAATATGCAAAATTTCCCAAAATATGCAACGATATGCAAATATGCACAAAAGTACCGAAATATGCAAAAATATGCTATAGGAACCCGGTCCCTAATGTTCGTACCGACGTAAAAACACCATTTTTGAGCGTTTCAGCTCATGGCATATCCGCATGCGAAATATGCATTTGCATGTTTTGCCACTCCCTAATAATTACTTATGAAGTTATTCTAACAAAACAACTTGAAGCGCTGCCCGGTACATAAAATGTATCTATTTCGATTAAGATTACTAACCTCTGGGGGAGGGGGGAGGTTCTGTCGAATTAATTGGAATAAATTACTTGGATTTAAAGACCGACTTTACCATAATGGTTAGAATTTTAAAGCAAAGAACTGCCTAAGAAGTGCCTATCTTCCATCAACTTATAGAACGGCTTTTCTTCCATCAAAAGGACTTTATGGATTCCTCGATTTTCATGTCTTTTACCATTAGTGGAAAATATCCATAAGAATTCTCTTATGTGTAAGGAGATATAAATTTTTCAGTTTTGTCATAATCTTCAATAGAAAAGTCAACTAATTTTACTCTTGTTTCTTTGCTTTCTCAGCTTGCATATCTCATCATATAGGTTCCTCGCATCCTCACAATCATGACAATACCTTCATTTTAAATATAAATTAACATCAAATACATATGTTATTTATAATGATAATCATTACTTTAATTGTCTGGACCATATCCACGACGTCCACCTCTACGACCTCGTCCACGTTGCCCCTGTCCACGTTGACCTCGTCCACGATGGCTCTGGATAGGCTGCAATTGTCCATGTTGCCCCTGTCCAATTGTTCCAAAAGCTATAAGGTTATTAACAAAGAGTTTTTTAGAATCAAAAAACTGACAATACTAAGTCAATTACCTAAATTTAGAGTCGGATGATTATAGAGCATTTGGACATAACCGTTTAATGCCCGCATATCTGCTGTAAGCCCGTTTTTCAGGTATTCGTTAATTTGACGTGAATTTTCTAGTTCATTTATCACTTTAGTTACTTCTTCATGTTGTTCTTGTGTGAAGTTAGGATTGTTCTGATAAATGAGAAATTAAATTATATTGGTATTTGAGTAGAATTATTTAATCTCTCATTTATTTTCCTTTCGGTTTTTACAAGTCTCGGTTTTGCAAAAACAATTTCCTTTTTAAGTTCATTACCAAGTAAAATGAATTTTAAATAAAATAATATTTTTTACCATATTTTGATATAAATACTTTAACCAGGAATTTTTATGCTCATCAATTGCATTGGTATTAGCTAATAACTCAATATATGCATTAACCAAATTAAAATATTGTTTTCGAACATTATTAATTTCTTCGACGCGATCAGTGTCGACTTTAATTTAAAAATAAATTGTTAATTTAAAAATAGTTATTACATATCTCCCGAGGTGCTATTTGCTGAAGCTTATTGTTGTCGCCAACCGTTTCAAGCAAAGGAAAAATTAGTTTTTTTAATTGAGTAAATTCCTATTAAAAATTTTAGTACATTTTTTATTTCGCTACAATAAAACAAACATCATCCTCTACTGGTTGCTGTGTTCCTGAACCTTCCCCACGATACATTTCTCCTGGTTGCGATCCTGATGGACCTTCTCCTGGATGCATTCCCCCTGGTTGCGATCCTGATGGACCTTCTCCTGGATGCATTCTCCATGGTTGCGATCCCGAACCTTCCCCAGGATACATTCCTCCTGGTTGCGATCCTGAAGGACCTTCTCCAGGATACATTCCAAATAATAATGAAATCAATTGTAGAAAATAAAAATTCAAAAGGATAAAATTGTAAATTTTCATCCTTAAATTAAATACAATAAAACACGATCAAATTCTAACACTTGAGAACAATTAGACGCAATAAGGTAAAATCACATATAATGATTCAAGAGATTTATCATTAAATTCCGTTGTTGGGAAACAACTTATTCAAGAATTATTCTATGCTTTCATCCTAACATTGAACAACATAACAACAATGTTTGTCTTAAAAGATACTTCAAGGCACTATTTTTGAAAATTAGAAAATAACTTTATTGTTTCTGTCGGTTTTAGTTGGTTTTTTTTATAAACCTATTCCCTCAAACAGCAAAATAATTTATTAGACTAAAGTAAATCTACATAATAGTAGAACAATGAATGATTCTATTTATAAAGGCAAATATGCGTGTGTATAATTTAAATGCCGTCAAAGTCTGGTGAATTGAATAGCGATATTTTCTTTATTTAAAATTTCTTTTTACCCCTAACAAAAATATTTTTTCAATTTGTCATTAAAATTTAAGCTACGAGATTTTAAATTTAAGACGACGCATAAGTTCGTGGGACAATTTCATGGGACGCTTATAAGCTCATTGCCCTTTATTATTTATCCCTAGTAAAAATAGTTTTTCAATTTATCGGCAAACATTGAGCTAAATTGAGCTAAAATTTACGAGGCATGCCTTACAAGTAAATCAAGTGACTATTATGAAATCATGCAAAAATATTAGAGCATACACTCTCGTAATACTTAGCTCTATATGGCAAGGCTATTACATGTGAAATTAAGAGCAAGTCTATTTTAAGTCGGCATATCTATTTTAAGTGTATTTTGCATATACTTTAATTTTCTTTTATCCTTATAAAAA